GTTAGCATATAGTGCAACAATGATTTCAGGAGTAGATTCCTTAGTGCCCCTTACCCATTTAGGCCATCCCCCTCCCATAAGCCCTCCCGTAACCCTCAGTTTGTTCTCCACAGTTATGTCTCTTCTATTTTGTCCCCCTCCCTGTTTTTATATTATTTTTGTTTCCCTTCCCTTATGTTCATCTGTTTTGTTTCAAAGTCCTCATAAGAGTGAAGTCATATGATTTTTGTCTTTCTCTGACTAATTTCACTTAGCATAATACCCTCCAGTTCCATCCATGTAGTTGCAAATAGCAAGATTTCATTCTTTTTGATTACCGAGTAATACTCCATTGTGTGTGTGTGTGTGTGTGTGTGTGTGTGTGTGTGTGTGTACCACATCTTCTTTATCCATCCATCCATCGATGGACATTTGGGCTCCTTCCATACTTTGGTTATTGCTGATAGTGCTGCTATAAACATGGGGGTGCATGTGTCCCTTTGAAACAGCACATCTGTATCCCGTGGATAAATGCCTAGTAGTGCAGTTGCTGGGTTGTAGGGTAGCTCTATTTTTAGTTTTTTGGGGGAACCTCCATAGTGTTTTCCAGAGTGGCTGCACCAGCTTGCATTCCCAGAGATCTGATTTCTTAATATGTGTGTTCATTGGTATAATCTTTACTCTACAATTGCTATAAAGTTTCAAACCACTTTTGCTGCATACCATAATATTTGATACATTGTATTTTCATTTTCACTTGTTTCAAGATAATTTTTTCCTTCTGATTTCCTCTTTGACTCAATGGTTGTTTCAAAGTGTGCTGTTTAGTTTCCATATATTTGTAGATCTTTTCACCTTCCTCTTATTTTTTATTTCTGGCTTCATACCACTGTGGTCAGAAAAGACAGCTGCTATGATTTTAAGCTTCTTAAATTTGCAAATATCAAAGCTACTCTCTTAACCCCTACACCTCTCATACACAATCTATGAGAAGTCCTGGCTTTGATAACTGGAATCAATATTAAGAGTAGATACAAAGACAAAGGCACTCTCTGGTGAGAAATGTGGTGGGAGCTCAGATGCTAACACATTTCTGTGAGTCTTACTCTTAGCTTTAAAATAATTATATAACTGCCTTGCAAGCTTTACTAACACCTTGAGGGGAAAGAAAATTTCACCACCAGAGATATTAAAAATTGGTCCTGATAGGCTCCAAAACTTGCCTTAAACCACACAAATATGACCCCTCTTAAGAACATCAGAGTATGTATCACCCCAACTTCAAAGAAAAAAATAATACATTTCCCCCAAACTACAACTCCGTTAGTTACAGAACATTAGTTTTTAACTTTAACCAATAATGAAGGGACACAATTGAGAAGAGTTTGAAGAAAAACCAGACAGAAGCCATGGAGAATGTTTCAAAAGGGAAGAAGCAGTATATGAAGTCAAATGTTAACAAAAGATCATGAAAGACACATGAACAGCAAATTATCCACTGGGTTTAATAAGAAAACAGTGAGTGACCCTGGCAAAGGCAGTATTAGTGGACTAGTGGGGAGGCAAAATCAGACTGTGACAGACTGAGGAGTGAGTTTTAGATCAGGAAATAAAATTCTTTTCAAGTAATTCTTCAAAAAAACCCTTCAGTTTTAAAGGTAGAAGGGAATGACATAAGACCTAATAATAATGCCAGCAGACACTTATGTAGTACCTATGTGCCAGAAACATCCTTAAGAGCTTTACATATATTAACTAATATAATATTTATAAAATATGAGAGGTTGTCTTTTTTTTTTCCACTATCATTTCACAGATGGTTAAAGTATAGAAGTTTTAATGGAAAAACACAGAGATGGTAAGTGGTGGAGCCAAGATTAATATTTGGTTTTAATTCTTTAAGTACAATTTTATGATTTATAGAAAACTTGGAAGAAAAATAAACAGAGGTTTTGAGTACTCTTCACACAGATTCCCCAAATGTTATCAGCTTACTATATATTTGCTTTACTTTTCCATACATACACAGATATTTTGTTTTCTAAATTGATAACAAGTTGTAGGCTTGCCCTTAAACACCAAAATACTTCGGTGCAAACTTCATAATAAAAGGAATGCTCTTACATTACTACAGTAAAATGATTTAAAAATTAGGAATTTAAACAGTGAACCAATACTCTTATCTAATCTACAGATCTTATTGAAATTTTTCCATTTTTCCCTACCAAGTCCCTTATAGCAAAAGAAAATTAAAAATATGTGTAGTATTAAGTTGTCATATCCTTTTAATCTCTTTTAATGTGAAAAAGGTCCTGAACTTTTCTTTATATTTCATGATACTGGCATTTTTAATGAGTGCAAGCCAGTTATTTTGTAGTATACCTTCATCTGAGTTTGTCTCATGTTTCCTCTTGACTGTATCCAAGTTATTCATTTTTGGCAGAAATGCAACAGACCTGAAGCTGAGTTCTATTCAGTAGGTCATATCAGAAGGTACTTGATCCCATTGCTGGCAATGTTAACTATGTTCATTTGGTTCATGCAGCACCTGTCAAGTTTCTCCATTGTGAAAGTCAAAAGTCATTAACTTATGCTTCATAATGAAGTATCTTATGAGGGTATACTTTGAGACTGTACAGATATCCTCTTACTACTCAAACTTTCACCCCCTAGTTTTTAGCATTGCTTGATGATTCCTACCTGAATCAATTATTGTTGTGATAGCTTGCAAATGGTGACATTCCAATTCCATCATGCCTTTCATATTTATTAGTTGTTTTGCATTGTAAGAAAGAGCTTCCCTTTCTCTCATTCATTCATTCATTCATTCATTCCAGTGTGGACTCAAGAGAGTCTTACCCTATTCAATAGGCCATAATTCTTTTACTGTAGTTTATTTTGTTGTTCAAATTGACCAGTGACAACCCCTTCCAGCTGGCTCTTTGTCTTTTTGACATATCTCTATCATTCTGTGAGCATTTCCTTGCTTTTTAAAGCCCAACAATATGTTCCAAGATCATCTTGCTCTTCCCTTGCCCTAGTTCTGAAACCAGTCATTTCTCTAAGCAGCCCTGGTTTCCTTTGAGTGGTGAATGGAATTTAAAAACCAAGGTCTACCATAAAAAAGGAATGCAGTACTACATTCTAGAACATGCACAAACCTTGAAAATATGCTAAGTTAAAGAAGCTAGACACAAAAGGCCACTTGATATATGATTCCATTTATATGAAATATCCAGAATAAGCAAATCCATAGAGACAAAGTAGATTACTTTGTCAAGAGCTACAGTAAAGGGAGAATCAGGAGTTTGAGCCATGGGATTCTTTTTTTATTATTATTTTTTATTTTTTAAAATTTACATCCAAATTAGTTAGCATATAGTGCAACAATGATTTCAGGAGTAGATTCCTTAATGCCCCTTGGCCATAATTTAGCCCATCCCCCCTCCCACAACCCCTCCAGTAACTCTCAGTTTGTTCTCCATATTTATAAGTCTCTTCTGTTTTGTCCCCCTCCCTGTTTTTATATTATTTTTGTTCCCCTTCCCTTATGTTCATCTGTTTTGTTTCAAAGTCCTCATATGAGTGAAGTCATATGATTTTTGTCTTTCTCTGACTAATTTCACTTAGCATAATAACCTCCAGTTCCATCCATGTAGTTGCAAATGGCAAGATTTCATTCTTTTTGATTGCCGAG